ACAAGGTTGGTTGGTTAAAGCCTTGGTGAGCGGTCCGCCACCCACCCTATGTGATATAGGGTGTGGGTGTGACAATAACAATTATTATGCTTACATATCTATATAATAAATTAAATAAGTTTTTGAACTTATAGGGGGAATATTCCACCCCAAATTTCACACATCCAACTAGAGATGTCAGTAGACCAAAGCGGGGGCAGAGGGGTGTAGTCCCCATCCTCATACCCACTTTAAAAAACTTCATCCATCTCCGGTTTACCCCGTTAACAGGTATAGTTTTCATCCCCATCCCCATCCCCCGTCCACGAGTAAATTTTTAATCCCCGCCCTCGTCCCCGCTTCCCAAGTCCAAGCTCAAACCAACATAATTTAAAATTCTAAATAAATCTAATATTTTAAACAATCCACTTTAAAACCTAGTATCAGTATATAGCAAATTGAAGCGAACCCACTTAAGTTTATAGGTATAATGCAGGACAACTAAGAGATAAGAATCAAGCTGAAAATTTAACTTTAGCAAGGTTCAAGACACAATATATTTGTCTCTCTGCTTACATACGACCAAATTCCATAGTTCTATGCAGGATAAATAATAACAAATATTTATATAGAAATTAAAATTTGAATTTGAATGTGAATTTGATATTCGATTAAGATTAAAATCCATATCAAACTAATTAGATTTAGATTCAATAAAATTCAAGAGAAAATTTTTAATGCTCACTAGACACCATGTTATGTGGATCACCCATAAAATATTGTAGCTAGTGAATTTATCAAAATTTTTATTAAAAAATTAATACATATATACCACCTTGTGCTCTATAAGCAAAATATTTTTTCAAACTTACTAATTTTTTGGTTTTAAGTAAGTAAGTTAGTTAGTACTATTTACCGAACAGAGAAAAAAGTTAGTACCAAGTTGTAGTAAATAATTAGTAGAAACTGGTAAGAACTAAAACAACAAACAATCAATTTATATATATATATATATATATATTTAACAGGTAGCGCTGACGGGGGTGGGGGTGGGGGCGGGGGTAAGGGTAAGTCTATCCCCGTCTTTATCTCCGCACGGGTATCCCCATATACGTGTATCGTCCAATACATATAATTCATCTCTGGTCCAAAAGAGACGGGTTTGGATGAATACCCATTTTTCCCTAGTCTACTGTCATCCCTACACCCACACACACTCCCCCCTCCCCCAAATTTCAAAAACCCAACACACACACTTCACATCACACAGCTACACATACATATATACATACATTGCAATACACACATTCTAATGCATGCACAATATTATAATTTAGTGTACAGTGACTTAAGTCACGGGGTATCACTAGTATTTATACAAAAGAGATAAATAAAGAAAGAAAGCATCTAAAAAGATGAAAAGTAGCCATAAAAAAAAAATAGTTAAATCTTAGACATTGTAACTATTATTAATGCTTACATTTATAATAAAAAAATATGATAGATTTCAATAAATTTATCTGACAGTTTTNGAAGAAGATTATGAAAAAGTGTATAATTATGAAAAACTCCCTTTTAGTTTCAAAGAGTTTTACTTTGACCCCTATATTTTTCTAAACTTAATTTTAATCACTGTTTTACTCTGTAAGTTGGAAGAATAGAATTTTGAAAAGTTTATGGTAGGCCCAAAAACAGAAAATTCATTTTTTTAGGAAATTATACTTTGACCCCAAAAGTTTTAAAAATTATGATTTGACCCTAAAATTTTAGAAAAATTTTCTAAACAGCCCAAAATACTTCTATACCATATTATATCGTATTATAAAGGATATTTATACGTAAATAATATATTAAGTATATATCAATGGGTAGGAATTATATAAAATAAATATAAAATCGCAAAATGATGAAGTTAGGAATAGGAATTGATTGTTAGATGTTATTTTGAATTAGGTAGTGATTGCATTGAGGTTGAGAAAGAGGGATTTGAATTGAATTTTGGGAATCAAAGTGAATAGTTACTACTTCTTTTGAGAGGATTTTCTATATTAAGTGTGTGGGCGCGTGTGTGGATTTTTCATATATACGATATATGTGTTGATGTTTGAGGTTGCAATTAAATGTTTGAAACTATGAATTGTTATACATGTGAATTTTGAAAAACTTGTGGAATGATTTTATATCATTGTTTTGGTAATGAAAGGGAAATTTTGTGTGCGTTGGAACTAAAACTACAGTTTTTGTGTACGTGAAAATCATGTTTATGAGATGGGGACTAGGTTACCAGGTTTTAGTGATAACGACATTGTATACCGACGTGGTCAGCATAGGGATGTGCACATAGGGGCCAGTCATCAAGTTAATGATAACAAGAGACGGGATCAGTTACCAAGTTAGTGATGACAAGAGATGAGGTCAGTTACCAGACTAGTGGTAACAAACATGATTTGACAAATATATTTGAGACTAAATGTGTGTATGAGTGTTTTGGGTTATAAATGTCTTTTTATTTATAAAGTTATTTGTGAAAATGAGTGGTGTTTTGAATTATAAATGTCTTTTCACTTATAAAGTTATTTTTGAAAATGAGTGGTGTTTTGAGTAATAAATATTTTTTTCATTTATAAAGTTATTTGTGGAAAGGAGTGGTGTTTTAAGTTATAAATGTTTTTTCATTTATAAATTTATTTATGATCATGAGATCATTTTTTAAGGATTATGTGAGAGGCGTTGGGGTATAATTTGTTGTACTTATATATGTATCAAAGTTTATTTTTGTATATAAACTGTGAGATTTTATTTTCACACCTCATTAGAGGTGGTTGCTATTTACCGACTATTGTGCTCATCCGATCATTTAACATTTTTCAGGCGAGAATCAAGAGGAGGAATAAGTCTCTAGATAGACAAGAGATTAAAAGACTTGAAAATTTATTTTATTGTAGATCTTCAAGAATAAATGTCTTTTATAGTTTTGTGACAAATGTTTAATTGTTTTGGGAACAATATTGTTTATGTTTAGAGTAATGAATCTTACGATTTAATTATTGTTTTACATGGATTTAGTAATGATGTTTAGTTTATTCCTATGATATTCATTGGGTCGATGGAATGAATCACATTATTATTTATCTTCTGTTGTATTTTGCATTTATTATGCACAAGGTTGGTTGGTTAAGGCCTTGGTGAGCGGTCCGCCACCCACCCTATGTGATATAGGGTGTGGGTGTGACAATAACAATTATTATGCTTACATATCTATATAATAAATTAAATAAGTTTTTGAACTTATAGGGGGAATATTCCACCCCAAATTTCACACATCCAACTAGAGATGTCAGTAGACCAAAGCGGGGGCAGAGGGGTGTAGTCCCCATCCTCATACCCACTTTAAAAAACTTCATCCATCTCCGGTTTACCCCTGTTAACAGGTATAGTTTTCATCCCCATCCCCATCCCCCGTCCACGAGTAAATTTTTAATCCCCGCCCTCGTCCCCGCTTCCCAAGTCCAAGCTCAAACCAACATAATTTAAAATTCTAAATAAATCTAATATTTTAAACAATCCACTTTAAAACCTAGTATCAGTATATAGCAAATTGAAGCGAACCCACTTAAGTTTATAGGTATAATGCAGGACAACTAAGAGATAAGAATCAAGCTGAAAATTTAACTTTAGCAAGGTTCAAGACACAATATATTTGTCTCTCTGCTTACATACGACCAAATTCCATAGTTCTATGCAGGATAAATAATAACAAATATTTATATAGAAATTAAAATTTGAATTTGAATGTGAATTTGATATTCGATTAAGATTAAAATCCATATCAAACTAATTAGATTTAGATTCAATAAAATTCAAGAGAAAATTTTTAATGCTCACTAGACACCATGTTATGTGGATCACCCATAAAATATTGTAGCTAGTGAATTTATCAAAATTTTTATTAAAAAATTAATACATATATACCACCTTGTGCTCTATAAGCAAAATATTTTTTCAAACTTACTAATTTTTTGGTTTTAAGTAAGTAAGTTAGTTAGTACTATTTACCGAACAGAGAAAAAAGTTAGTACCAAGTTGTAGTAAATAATTAGTAGAAACTGGTAAGAACTAAAACAACAAACAATCAATTTATATATATATATATATATATATTTAACAGGTAGCGCTGACGGGGGTGGGGGTGGGGGCGGGGGTAAGGGTAAGTCTATCCCCGTCTTTATCTCCGCACGGGTATCCCCATATACGTGTATCGTCCAATACATATAATTCATCTCTGGTCCAAAAGAGACGGGTTTGGATGAATACCCATTTTTCCCTAGTCTACTGTCATCCCTACACCCACACACACTCCCCCCTCCCCCAAATTTCAAAAACCCAACACACACACTTCACATCACACAGCTACACATACATATATACATACATTGCAATACACACATTCTAATGCATGCACAATATTATAATTTAGTGTACAGTGACTTAAGTCACGGGGTATCACTAGTATTTATACAAAAGAGATAAATAAAGAAAGAAAGCATCTAAAAAGATGAAGAGTAGCCATAAAAAAAAAATAGTTAAATCTTAGACATTGTAACTATTATTAATGCTTACATTTATAATAAAAAAATATGATAGATTTCAATAAATTTATCTGACAGTTTTAAATAAACTCATCTAATCGTCATCAATATTTATTTTAAAATTATTTATATTACACCATAATTACTGAGTATCATTAATATATATTTATCCATATAAGATAAATAAAGAAAGTANTCCAATAAACTCATCTAATCGTCATCAATGTTTATTTTAAAATTATTTATATTACACCGTAATTACTGAGTATCATTAATATATATTTATCCATATAAGATAAATAAAGAAAGTAAGCATCTAAAAAGATGAAGCGTAGCCATAAAAAAAGAACAGTGACTTTGTCAAACGATGACGTGACCTTCATGCCCCCATAAAACCCAAGCATCATTGGGCCACCATACCATTACAACATTCTTCCAAACTCACAGGAGCACATGGCATCATAATACCACCCTTTCCCCCCAACCACCACCACTTTCTTCATCATTTTGTGCAAAATCTACGCTAATATATCATTAATTGATTTATGGTGGCGGGTAAGAGCATATCACAGGTTGGAATCTCTTATATATGAGATTCTGAGTGGGTTCCTTGGATTTGGTATTAATAATGGGAAATGCGAATGGCAAAGAAGATGATGGTGGTGGTGGAGATGATAGTAACAGCCCATCTGGAGGGGGTGCCGGGCAGGATAGCATGGCACGTCCGGATGGTGAGCATGTTGGCTATCATGCGCACGCTGATGCTGGTGGCGAGTTCATGGGTCAGTCCCCTCCTCCTAGCCCTAGGGCTGCTCGCTCACCTTTGATGTTCACTCCTCAGGTTTGTGTTCGTTTTTCTTTTCTTCTGATATTTTTCTCTGTTTCAAGTTTTGTATTTAGGTGTGTAAAAATTTAATCTTTAGATTGCTATTGAAAGGATAGAGTAATTCAGTACATTTAGACTGTTTTATATGGGTAATTTCCTACTATTTTCTGCAGTGACTTTAATTTGCAATAGATGTCCAGATCTGGAAACGAAGGCTGGGACTTGGATCCGTGCATCCACATCGCGAAAACCCTTTTGTTTGTGGATTCTTTTAATTTTTAGTGATTCGGTCAGTTGATTTTTGTTAATATTTCTTTAGTTTCTATAAGATCACTAGTTATTTGATAGAAGGCCTCAAAGAATTGATGGGTCTTTGCTTTCTCGTGAAGCTGTTTCTCTTGACGAAGAAAAATTGAAAGGCAAAGGCTACCGCTTTAGGCTTACCGGATGGACTGATCTATTGGCTATAGATTTTTAATTTTTCTCATGGAATTCTACTTCTGAGATCAGAAATGGTGATTAAAAGTTAAATGTGGTGACCTCATTGGTGTGAAAATTTTAAATGTTGCATCAACTGCTGAACTTTTAATTTGCCTATGCACAGAGTGGAATTTGCTAATGGAAAACACTTTCTGTAGCCCTAACTTCACATTTGCTGAAATAGTTAAGATAGCAAGTTAATTTGCTTGGGTGGTTGAGCATCTGCCCACTCCCAGGCATGATCTGTGATCGCGTACCACCAATCGGAGAATGGTTCTCATCATCCTTCCTCTTAGGATTAGGCTAAATCATTGCTCCAAAAAGGGGGAAAAAGGAAAAGAAAAAGTTAAGCAAGTCTGTGCATTAGGGCAACCTGAGAATCAAATCCATTTGTGTAAAGTTGGAGTGATTGGCAGTATTCTTTGTTAATCTTTATTTATGTTTCCCCTAATTGTGATTTCTGTTCTCAGAGATATATCTGAGAAAGATGTTATATTTCATCTCTTGCTTTGTCATGCCTTTTCAGGTCCCTGTTGTTCCTCTGCAAAGACCTGATGAGATGCACATCCCAAGCCCTTTGTGGATGCAAGATACCTCTGGGTATGAAGACGCGAGCAATGAGCAAGGAATTCCAACAATGATTACTTGGAGCTACGATGCCAAGGAAGTTGCTGTGGAGGGATCATGGGATAATTGGAGAACAAAGTAATCCTCCAATTCTCTCCCTTTGCTCTTTGTTCGTTTATAGTGCAATTTGAAGTTATGCATTATGAGTTGCTATATGACATACAATATTTTTGCTCTGTTGATCAGGAAGCCATTGCAGAGATCAGGGAAAGACTTCACCATTGTGAAAGTGCTTCCTTCAGGTGTTTACCAGTACAGGTTTATTGTTGATGGACAATGGAGATATGCCCCTGACATGCCTTGGGCCCAGGATGAAGCTGGCAATGCGTATAACATTTTAGACCTGCAGGTAATTTACCGCTTCTCTTCCTAGAATTATTCCCAGCTGCAAGATGGATGAAGAATCTGGTATGACGTCCAATATTATTGAATCCCTAGTTGCTGCAGAATTGCTACCATTAGTAAAAGTTGAGTTTGAGTTATCTTGTATATTTACTTTCATGGACCAACTCATTTAAACTAATTCTTCAGTGCCTTACTAGAATGATCCGCCCTAACTATCAAGATATTGTTTGTTTTAGGTGCCCATACACCCTCACGGTTTTGTTCCTCTAGGGCTTCACCCCAGAAAAGGCCTCTTGACAATTAAGAGTGAGCACACCACATATAGCCCTATCACTCCCCCTCCCAAGTCGATGTGAGATATAACACATGAAGTTATAGCACCTCCTCACCTCACAAGACTTTTTGGCGGGCTACTACGCTTACAGCCAAATGCTTGGGGAAAAAGAATATCCTCAAGTGTTTTGGTGTGTGTGAGCGCAGTGGGTAGCAGGGTAGTTTCTAGTTTGATTCATGAGGACTGTGAATATTCAGAATCATCGCATTTCTTGATCTAGAGCATGCCTTTTACTGGATAAGTGTGGTGTTCTGAAATTGTAGGATAATGTTATATTTTAGGGACTTTTAACACTTTGCATTATCTGAGAAGTGAGGAGGTGCAGGTGGACTCAATATCTTCTTGACCCTTAAATAGTTAATATATGATGAACTTCACCTGAATTCCAAATCCTGTTTCCGCTTTTATGTTTCTGCTGTAATAAGAAAAATGTAATCTTTGAGCACTACTGGATCAGACATCACAATCTTTATACCAATGACAGCTCTTTGAATTTCAAGACCCAAGAGTCTTGACGGTTACAAAATCTTCCTGGCGTTACAACCTGTGGGAAACGTGTATGATGATGCTGGACATATTTCATATTCCAAATTTGCTGAGGCTCTGAGTCGCTAGAGTCAAATGTTCCGGTGCATCTTTTGTCGCTTAATTTAGAAAGTGACTAATATCAAAAAGCATTTACAATTCTTTAACAGCATGTCTGCATTTTGATTTATAAATAGTATGGGCTATCTCAGGCAGGAAACCATCTTGCCCTGGTACCTGAGAGTTCTGGTCTGATTGTGAAACATGGTTTTGCAGTAAGTCTGTAGGTCGAATGTGGATTCCAGGTCTGCATTACCCTGTGAGTGCAGTTGATCCATGGAATGAGCAGTGCGCTTTTAAGAAATTTTGTTTGTGTATCAGACATCTGCATTTTGCTTATGACTGTCTGAAGTGCTAAAAAAAGAAAAAAAGAAAAAAAGTAGCTGACTACACATTCTAGAACCCTAATTTTTCCCCCATGTCATGGAAACCCTGGCTCAAATGGGAATATGAAGGCTGATTTTCAAGTTCAAACCCAAATCATCCCTCCTCCATCCTTTCCAGACTATCTTAGCTATCACACAAAATGGGACTTCTTTAGGCAATTTCATATATGAGGAGCCAGAGTAGCCTTCTTGAGTCATGTAAATAAACGCTCAAGACACCTAAATGTTGACTCAAGTCCTTATAGTGGTCCATATTTGGTGCCTGGAAGTTGGAACTGATGCCTTCCCCCCATTTTACTATTTTCATTGTTGGGATAACATACAAACCTTAGGTTATCAACATTTGACAAAAATAAATTCAGAACTCACAGTTAGTAGTGACATAATCTTACATTGACTCGTGCTACCATTATTGCTATTAGGATATTGTGGATGCAAGATGAGAAAGTGAGGTACTGATGGTTCCTTGAAGAAGAGGGTTTAGTAACTTTAGTCTCTAATCACCTTGTTAAAGGTTTTGTTGCCAAATCCACTACTGTTGTTTTTGTTTTTTGTTGGGGGGGAGGGGCGTTGAAGAGAGGCCATAAAGGCCAAGGAGACCTGAGCGAACATGCTTGACAAAATTGACAATAAGAGCACAAGAACTGGTGAAATATTGTTTCTCTACTCAGCTTGACTGAATACCGTTTTTACTTTTAATATATTCATTAGTTCTTCTTTTGACCTTATTTGGGGTTTGCTATGTCGAGAAGTTTTTGTGATTAATTGGGGTGAATTTTGGTGACTTGCTTGATTAGTTGCATGGGAATATAGTAAGGGAGAGTTTGTTGACATACTTAATGGGAGTACATTTACAAACTTGGCATGAAGTCGCATTATTTTATTTGTTTATTTTTCACTTATTATTTGATTTTGTGAATACCAACTAAAAGGGAGAACTTGATGTGTATTGTCGTTAATAAATCTATAGATTCTTAAGCATAATGGGCAGCATTGCTAATATATGAACTTGCCCTATGCCCATCTTGGTATTTACTTCAGTGTATTCATTAGTTCTTCTTGTTTTGACCTTATTTGGGGTTTTCTATGTCAAGAATGCCTCCTTTAGGTCATAGATTTTTAATTGACACCACGATGGTACTGATTTCTGCTGCAGGATTATGTTCCCGAAGACATTGAAAGCATATCTGGTTTCGAACCTCCTCAGTCCCCAGATTCAAGCTATCAGAACTTGCAACTTGGTGCTGAAGACTATGCAAAGGAGCCGCCATTAGTTCCTCCACATCTACAAATGACTTTGCTCAATGTTCCATCATCCCACATGGAGATTCCACCTCCTTTTTCAAGACCTCAGCATGTTGTGCTTAACCATCTTTACATGCAGAAAGGGAGGAGCAGCCCATCAGTGGTGGCACTTGGTTCAACTCATCGGTTTCTAGCCAAATATGTAACTGTTGTACTCTACAAGTCCATACAGAGGTGAAAATACATGTCTGTCTGGACACTAGTCTTTAATCTGGTCATGTAATTGATATATTTAGTAAGAGGTAAATGTCAGGCCAATGGCTTAAGAGAATTCCAGATAGAGCCATTATGGTTGACTCAATTTATATGGTATAATGTAAATGCTCGGAATCATCATTTCTCCAACAATTATCTGGGTATTCTGTCTTCTGTGTTTTCTGTTGTTCGTCTGCTGTAATATCCTCACTAGAAGAAACCATTTTGACATTGGAACGCTGGATTGCTTATCATTGTTGTTTTGCAGTTGGAAAGGAGACAACAAGAAGAAACTCTAATGGTACTTATTGGATAATATGTTCCAAACACATCGGCAC